ATTGAACGGACAGTGATTACGGTTCGATGTAGCCGAGAAATTATATGTTAAACTTTCAATCTTCACAGTGAATGCATGCCAAACAAACTGTGAACATGTATACATGGGTACATGACAGGTGGTCTAGATTTTGTGGCCCAAGGTTCGAGCCTTCATTGCGGATTAGTTGCAATTATTGTGGCCTCTTGACATTCTTCTTTATGAAAGACAGCAGCGGTCAACACAAAACTCAGCACTTACGCACTATCGATTTTTGGCCAGGCTTAAACCTATTTAAAGCACCCACTTCCAAAGAGTGTCATCGATTTGTGTTTGTTTGATAATAAAAACTAGCCGACATCATCGAATAAAAGACGGCACTAAAGATATATCATCGAACTTGCCCTTAAGGGGCTTCAATTAAATGACCAAATGAGCAAAGGGGACTGCGATAAAGAGCAATAAACTAAGGGCTAAACCGAGTAATTAAAAAGCAGTCCATTTGATTTTGTTTGTTTTGTCTTCTCCTTCCCACTGAATTGTTATTGAACTTAATTGGATTTGGTAACTACTTGAACCGAAATGGGTGAGGAAGAGTAACCGAAATCCCGAAGAGCAATCAAAATTGGAAAATGGTTTTCTTTATGTAATTGCGTTGAGCAACGCATATGGATACAGTTGATTTTAATTGTATTTTAAAAGAAATTGTATTTATCATAACAAACTGTTAGTGGTGAGCACAGGGAAGTGCAATAAAAGCCAATAGGCACCGTAAAATGGATTCAGATAACTGCAGAAGCAATTGGGCCATAAAGTAGAAACAGCTAAGGAAACGTTACGATTCCGCGTTTTAACGCAATTTAATTTCTGTATCTAAAGATATCAATCTTTCTTTTTTCTACGTGTTCGACTCAGTGGACCACACAGATGTTTTTCTAGTAATTTTCCATTTTATTTTCCATCTACTTCTTACATGACTATTTTTCCACTTAATGCCTAAGATTTAGTCGTCGTTCGCGACGATCACGTAACAAATTTCATTTACTCAGCCGACGTGCGCAATTCAGCTAGAAATAATAAAATCAATTAGAATCAGCCTAAGAACAAGCCAACACTTTTAGCATCTAGCATTATAGTATATATTTTAGGTAGTTACAATATACATTAGCGTACAAGTTTTCCCTTTTACTAGGTTTTATTGTACAACAAGGAAAACTATCCAAACTCCATTCGACATGCCTTTCAATGTGAGACAACAATTGCACAACTCTCGGGCCCCAAAAACATGGCCATAAAAAGCCCATTTCATCAATGTCAGACGCAGGGGATTGCCCTCATCCCCCGATCTCCATCTCCATCTCCACCTGGCATGTGTCATGGGTACATGGACATGCCCATCACCATCAGCATATAAAACGTTTTTCACATTTTGTGATTTCTTTTTATTTTCCAGCTGGCACACGTGCGGCAATTATACGAGCAGCCAATAATTTCGCTTAATAATACACAAAAAGACAACGGACCGGCATGGGGAACAAAGTGGTTCAATCGAACGTAATTATGGTACTTAAGGTAAACTTTTTTAACGCATTTCTCTGCAGACTTTTGAAGGTCATTGGCTAGCCAGTTCATGACTGTCGAGCGTTTGCATCGATTAAATTAAATATAGATAAAGGCACAACAATAAAAGTAATGCTTGCCTCGACTCGTGGCCTCAGTCATGCCAAGTTTATCGATGGAGAAAAAAACGAAAACAAGTTTTCCTCGTGGGTCTATCGAATTACATTGGAGCGTGAGTTCCGCTTTAAATACGATTCTAGGTGGGAAATATAAACGCCTGATTCGCTACGTTTGTTTAAATGAAGCGCTATTGAGACCCGTAAAAACCCTTACGCCTCCAAAAAACACCTTAACAAATGGGTTTGATTGCATCAAGAACCACGCCTCAAAGGCAATGAACTTGAGCCTCATAAAATATTCAAATGCAAAGGCTTCCCTCTTTTCCCAATTGATAGGGCATGAAATGAGTTTGTCAAAGATAAATCATCCTCCCAAGATCGAGAAGAAAGGCCAGCGACGAAAGAAACAGGTAGGAATCGTACAGGGAATCAAATCCGTATAGTATTTATTCTTTCTTTATTCTTTAGCCTGGCATTTCAAGGAATTACAGAATCCTGTTCTCTAGTTTCAGGTAGTTGTGGGTGTGTCGTCTTATTGTTTCTTGCAACATCATAAAAATGTTTGATTCGAACGAAGGTACAAAGGCATTTTAGGGATGGTTCGGAAAGGGTTCCTGAACTTTAATTGCGTGTTCAGGACTGCGAGGTAATTAAACTGATACATATTTCATGTCAGGGGAATGCGGAATTATATGGTCCACACCCCAGAAAAAAGGAATCCGAAAGAGGATGAAAGCCTCGCCCAAAACACAAACAGAATTCTTCAACGCTAAGCCAGGGATTTATACTGGCCAAGATCAAATGGCCAGTGACTCCTATAATAAGAGTCTTATTACACACCGAATCGGACCCATCCCAATTCGAATCCAAAACCACAGACGACATTTGAGGATCATTAACTCGCTCATGTGTATATCTGGAGCAAATCCATATCAATATCAATATAGATCGTCTCGTCTTGCCCAAGTTGTTGACCCAGTGTAACGGCAATCCAAGGTTTTAGCGATAGCCTAAGCATCACATTCACTTTAGAATTTTTCGTTGCCTTTTTAATAAAAAAAATCTTGAAAAAAATATGTCGCATTTCTGATGTATGAGGCTTTCTGTTCCGAGTTCTTATCGACTCAGCCGCAATATCATTTGTCAAAGTGTCAACTCCGGGCATTGTTTGTGTTTATATAGTCTGGTGTGGCATCTTCGTTCTGCCCTTTGTTTTTCGCTGTCTGTCCGAAATCTGAGCATTGAAAATTGAGTAATATGCATGGGTTTTCGGTATGCGGGCCTCTTTAGAGATGGGTTAGTCGAGATTGGCGGGGAGTGATGCGGCATTTTATAATAATGCTGAGAGAAGAACGATGAGGCATGCTATTCGAGAATTGAAGATTGGGGATTGGCTTTTTGCCGTTGCAGGCAGGTTCAGAAGATTGAAGATTCATTGCTTCTCTGACAAGGCCGGTAGCTCAAAGTGGATAAGGGGAATGCAGTTAAAAATGATCAAGATTAGCGCTTGATGGAAAGTCAAGGTAAGTCGAGTTTCAAAAGTTCTTAGATAGTATTCTGCTTAAAAGCTTTTATACGTGGCATTTTTACAGGAACCCAATGGAATGATAGATGAAAAGCGTTGAAATGTATTTTTTTGTTCGGTGTCTGTAATGGCCAAAAGGTAATTTTCGATTTCAAACGTCTTAGCCTTACATCACGGAAAATCTTTATACAGTAATATGGTCGCTTACTATTACTTATTCTCTAAATGAATGGTTTTCAACATAACTATTTTAAACTCTTAATTTGAGCACCATTTGTTAATGCAATCAAATTAAACCGTATTTGGTAACCGATCTCAAGCGAATTTTGCGCACTTGACACCTGAAGTGTCGTCACCTGTCGCACGAGCAGACCTTTCACAGAAAGCCAGACATTTACAGCCGTAAATTGATTATACAATTTACCAGTACCAGTTACCAGTAAATGGTTTCTGCCGAAAACTGTATTAACATTGACCGCAGTCAAAGCTGCAATTTCACACGATTCGGGGAGTAAGAGAGTGGACAGACACCCACCTGAGCAGACTAATTGCAGGTGGGCCAAAAAGCGAGTTGGCGTTTTGGGCAAAAGAAATTTCGTTGTGGTGCTGATTTATGCTCGAGTGTTTTGACAACAGGCCGAAGACTTTCAAAACGATTTATTTGGCTTTTTGCAAATCATTTTCCAAATTGAAATTGGGTTAATTGAGCTTGACTTTGAACAGTTAAAAGGGTAAAGGCATTTTTGTGTGTAGGCTGTTCCAGAGAAATGTGGATAGAATTCTGAGAGACGGAGAGTTTGGCAATCGATCTGTGTGAAGTCTTACAAATGCAATTTGTGGTTTCAAAGCGTCTTGAATGAAAGCCCCATTCAAGCTCAACGCTTGAGTAGTTTGGTCTGAAGATGCTGGAAACGGGAGAAATAATGGCTTTCAAATGGTAATACTGATACGCTCAGGTAAATAAGTGGGCAAGTGGATCAATTCTAAGTCTTCTCAATTCATCTGCAGATGCAGAGAACTGTTAGAGTGTTAGATGTCAACTTTCCACATGATCGATGAACCATCAGGAATGGCTTAAGAATATTCCAAACGAAGTCCGCTAATCAAAGAACTATCACAAAAGAACCAAAGATTTTCACTTCATTAGGTGCGTCTTTGTCCCGGGAATCTATGGAGATACATCGGCATACGGCATACTACTTCATACTATCCACCGTTAAATTGTTTCTCGTTCAGCATTTTCGTATATACTTGATTAAATGCATTGATCATTAGGCGTTCTCCGTATAGAGAAAAACTAGTTTACAGAATCCAGATAGTGGCAGGAAGCTGGCACACAAAAATGCCCGTCGAAGGTAAGCCACATTTTCAACCGAAAAACACAAGACCCAGAAGAAAAAAAAACAATGAACTGAGGAGACACCTGCCGTCCAAGCCGTTAGCAGTTAGCTACTGCCACACAATGGACCCAAGTCGAAGTCGAGTTGGAAGTGGAGGTATGGTATGCAACCTGCAGATATGCGCTTTATAATTGCATGAACCGCTGCACCAACTGACCCACTTCGGCACCCCACTGTACAACATATATACTATCGACTATAGAACCACAGTCTTGGGCACCCGCAGTCCGGCAATAATGAAGCTTGTTCTGCGGCTTCTGTGGGCCCCCAAATAAAGAACACAGAAAATAGCAAATGAATAGGCTAAATTAGTTTTAAACAAATGTACGCCCGCATGAGCGAACGAGTTAAGGCGATAATTTATGCAATTGCCTTAAGTCTTTGAACTTTTTAAACGAAACCAGCAAACCAGCAAGCTTTTCTCGTTTATTTTGGCAGCTTAAGGAAAACAGAAAATTAATAGTCGTAGGGTTCAGCTTTTCAGCATGGATACGCTGCTCCAGAGGATTTCGGAGTTATTTAACCACTTTACTTCACCCATTGAAGCGGTGGTATACAGTCCTAAAGATGTAGAGAACGCAGAAGAAACACAAGCCTCTGCAAACCAAATTCCAGAAGCTTCGAATCAGGAAACTGGGAAGCCGGATGATCGCCCTTCACGTGGAGCCACTGAACCCCTAACCTCTGGTGATATTCCAACCCCAGATGTCAGGTTGCAAAAGTTCAGGGAACAAAGAACTCCTCCCATAAACTACGAGCTGGAGTTTGTTAACTTCCTGGATCGCAACGCTCCCCAGGGTTTATCGAAAAAGATAATGGATATAATGCCCTATCTGGAAGTCAGTTTTTTATCCTGGCCAGCTTTTTGGATTTGGCGCGGCTACAACTGGCAGTCTAAACGGAAAACGGAGAGAATTGGATTTTACATACAAAAGGTTTGAAATACAGTAGTTTAACCTGCAACTTTCCTAATAAAAACTATTCATTTCAGACCTATCAACAGGCCAAGCTAATGCAGTTGGCCATCTTAGCCACTGGTTTATTTACGATATCAATGGGTCGACCTGCCGGCTTGCCAATAGAAATGCACACAGTGCACAACAATCTGGAGGAAACAGCTGACATCGGGGACTCCACTTAGTTCAGGTAAGCCTTGATATATGTTTCTGTACAGACTTTACACACAAAATACACAACTTTCGGTCGAAATTAAACCTTTTGAAGATGGGCATCCAAAATTATTACGGCAATCTGAAGGAGAAGTTATTGAGGCTCACGAGAAAGGAGGAACCCGCCAAGGAAATAGCCCACCCACCTCGGTTGCATAATCTTGGCGAGGAAATACGTATATTGGTGCACTCGCCATCCTTTGAAAAAGCCTACAGTACTGCAGCACCATTTCTTTTCGCCAATTTGGGGGCGTGGCCGGGCTATTGGCTGTTCAGAGGAATGGATTATCATGTTCATCGATCGCACATTCCGCTGCCCATCTATATAAGACAAGTGAGTCGGTTGCTGTTTCGGTTTGCTATAAACTTTTAGCTGATGATATTATAATTTTAGACATACTATCAAGCGAAAATGGTGCAGCTTTTCATTATCTTAGCCGGTACTTATACGGTTTTCAGAAACACCAATCGCTTACGACTGATGAATGCAAATAGAGTGACGAAGTCTTAAAGCCTTCAAAAATCATGCAATGGATGCCCAAAAAACCAACGTCTTACAAAATACGGAAGCAGACCATTTGAAAGCTGAACTTTTAATTTAACAATCGCAATAAAAACTCAAAAATAAATTTCAAAATCATTTCCTACAAAATTCATTGTGTTGGTGCAGCTGACTCTGAATCCTCACTTTCTTCGCCTTTATTTTCTGGGATCCCCTCTCTAATGGTTTTGATTATATGTGCTAGTGCTCGACCACCGACTCCATTATCCATCAGTTCGATGCAGATTTTAAGGGATTCCTTGCTGAGACCGGAGTTCACTAATTCCGATATATTATGCAAGACAGTGAAGCGATCGTCGGGTTCATCGAGTGTCGATTTTTTGGACATCTTTATTCTACGAATTTTGAGACAGCTTGATACGAACTCCAAATAAATATCGAAATAGTTTAAGGTCAAACTTGAATGGTCCTGACAGGTATCTCAAAAGCTATCGATTTCAGTAGAGAAATAATATTTCTGGGATGCTATTTGAAAATGATTAATGTTCGTAGCCGTGTCAAAATATTTGATTTTCCTTCTTAATCCAAAGCCTGCATTTGTTCTGTTAACCCGAGCCCCGATGGCTAACCGTAATCCATTACCAGCTGTAAATCGTAACACCGTTTCAAGATCAAAGTTCAGTAATGAGGCACCTGCTCCAGTGAACCCCCATTCGCCCGCCATCCGATCTGCCCGCTGCCAAGTAGAAAGATAAATTAGCTACAAATTAAACAAATTATATACGCCAGAGAGGCACGCACACAGGCATCTCAAACAGAGGGGAGAATTGTAAATGGTAAAGAAATCTCAAATCTCAGCTGGCGGACAATTAAAAAACGCTTAAATGAAGATCTTTTTCAGTCTGCAAGTGCAGTGCCGCCAGCATGTGATAAGTAAGAGCAAACACTTAATTATGAGAGGGAGATCTATTGTATCGCTTGGCCTCACCTGTATGAGATACATTTTCCGCTTTTTTTCGACGCTCCGCTCAACAAATGCTAATTATGCAGCATCTGGTGTTGTGATGATGAAGTGGTTACTGTCTTGCTCTACTTGGAATGCAGCTCACTTTTTATGGGTCTGCTGCAATTGCTTTCAATTGGAAACCGAAAAAGAAGGCGATCTCGGGACTTTTTCACTCAATGAAAATCAATTGAAAAACGTTTTCGCTGCGAAAATCTAGAACTTCACTTGAGAGCGAAGCAATTTGCAGCATTAACTGAGGCGTTGAAACTAAAAAAGTTGGCCGTGTCTTATTGTACAGTTGTATATAGTCGGGCTATATAAACGCAATTAGTCAGCAGCACGTTAACACAAGCTTAAAAAGGAAGTGGTAGATATTCAACTCGGTTTTCTTGTGGCAGGTAAATTAACCCGATCGAAGGGGGTAGTACATAAACTTTTTAGAGGGTGTTTTCCTGCTTAACACACTTTGCTTGCTATGGCAATAGGTTTGCAAATGCCTTCACAAGGTGTTCACACCGCACAAAATCGATCAAACAAATATTTTCAAACACGATTGGCCAGCTCAATGTATGGGAACTTGAGCGGTCATTTGGTATTTCGAGGTTTCTCTCTGATGTTTGTTTATGCTTTATTTATTTACACAAATATGTACAATTCGTTGGTTTGGGTTTAGTGCGTGGTTTAGTGCATATTATTTATTGTGTTTATTGAATATTATTTTAATATATTATTTGTTAACGCGTTTGAATGACCATCGTGTCTGTGAGTTGAGCGCGAACTGAATTGAAATTCCGTTGGGATCTAGCTACAAAGCAGCTTGTGGATTGTATCTTATGGATTCCATGCAACCTCATCATGAGGTTCGCTTCGAACATGTTTGAAAATATCTCTGATAACCACCGGTTCATGCAGGTTCCGCTCGATTTGGAATGTTCGGATATGTTCCCAAGATTCCTGGGGCTGCACTTGAAATCGCTTCGACATTTCTTGATGTCACAACTTCGGAATTCGGATTATTCGGGGGATGGAGGCGCCCACTAGGAATTTAGTTAATTTGTTGATTATTCCAAGCATGATGTTGATGGGGCAGAAATTGGGCTTAATGAATGCTAAATGGTTTTAATGGGTGAAAGACTAAGGGATGAATATCATGGGGCGAGAATACGTGGGTTGGTCATGGAAAAGAGGTAGCAAATAGTAAAATACTATTTAGTAAAGGTCGTATTTCATTCTGATGAAAATTTAGGCACCCTTTCGAAAAACCTAGTCCCGCCTTATTCAACCCAAAACCCCATAACTATTAATCTCTCCACACCCAGGCACAAACTCAGCTTGTGGAACGCATTGCAACAGGTTCGCTGGGCATTAAAAATAAAAGCTACAAAAATCCGTAAAGCGAAAAAACGAGACCATAATAATTAATACCGATCGACCGAGAAACCCACCGAACTCCGCCAAAGGAGAGAAGTGCGTAAGTGAAAAAAAGAAAAACAGGAAATCGTGCGCAGCAAAAGTTGCGAAATATTTCATAACCTGCCAGCGAAAGATGACAAAACTGCGGATGGATATGCATCTCGTAAAGAAATTTCACCCAAATATAATGGCGAAAGGGGGGTGTGGTGTCTCGGTCAATAATCGTTCACCCTTGAAATCGACTTGAAAAGCAGCATTCAATTTGCGAAAAATGAAAATAAAAAGGAAACTTGCGGCCAATTTCATTGGCCATGCCTGCCCGATTCTCTGGCATCTTGTGGCACAAATGTGTGGCACCGTGATAAATGCACCGAATAAGACGGGAAAAATAAAATCAAAATGAGCTAAGACAAAAAACCTGCAATCAGCAAACGAAAGTGAAACAAAAGCGCCGACGAGCGAGCAAGAGAGAAGGGGAAAATACATCGGGAACGTTCAGCGAAAAACTTGCAATTTCCATTTTAAATACGCAACAACTTTCGGCTAGAGGCAGGCTGCAAGCCACAAGGAGTCCACCTTGTTGGACACCCCGCCTCTCCTGCAGCTGCTCAAAAAACCATAAGGAAGGGGCGGGAGGCAATGGATCTTAGGACCAGATCCAGGCTTACACTTGAAGAAAGTAACACGAATAAATTTAGTAAATTTGGGCATACCAAAAATTACAAAATATCTTAGTTGATCTGTATGAAATGAATCGAAACAACTCCTTATGTAGAATGAATATTATATACTTTTTAAAAATGTGAGTATCTATTACATTGTTTTTCTCGTGTGCGCATGAACAACAAACGACTTGGGCCGCAAACTCCTCGACTCGGCGATTTGTTGTCTGTGGATCGTCTGGCTCTTGATTGGAGCTGCCCTCCAGGAAGTGGAGGAGCAGGAGCAGGCGAGGAAGGGGTTTTGGGGAGCCGTAGGAGTCTGGGCGGATTGGCGCTCTTTTGTTGGGTATGTCATCAGCATAAATTTCGCCTCGCATTCATCATAATTTCCAGGCATTTAATTTGTATCATAAATTGTCTGCTTTGGACTCCTAGAGTCTGGACTGAGATTGCAAAGGGCCTTCCTTGGCCATAAATGCTGAGATATGAAATCTTCAATTAATTCTGGGGCGGGAGAGCTTTGCTATTGCCAAGTTCCCAGCAGGTTCAATGAACGACTGGCATTTTCACTTTCTCTTAAAGCAGCAGGAAAATGGGAAATGCAGGTTCAATGGTCACGCACTTGGCAAAACAGCAGCAGCTACACAAGCTAATTGACATCCCTAGCCGGTGTCTGATTACCCAGCAGATTTTGCAAATGAGCCGGGCAAACATTGGTTAAAACAAGCCCAGACACTTGAGATACAACGAAATGCATTCGCCAGATACAAAGGGATTGGGATGTAAAGATACAAAGACACAAACACACTCGACGCACGTTTGAATGCTGTGCAGTACGGCGATCAATAACAACAAAAGAGGCAGACAGTCTGCGCCGAGATGGAATCGTTGTTGGCCAGGTTAAAGATCGTTAGGCGCGACAAGGGGTCAGGTAGTAGTGGTGGTGAAGGAGATATGTATGATGGCCACGATAATCAAGGAGTGGAGGGTATCTCAGCTCCGTCTCTTCAGTTCATTTTCCACTTATTTCGCCAGCCGCCTGACCAAATGAGCCAATAATTTCATTGGCCGCGACTGGTGAGCACAATCATGGGCTGCATTGATTGGAAAATCCATTATGGGCTTCGCTTTTTAGACTGCACATGCTAATGGTTCCCTTTTTACGAGGCACTTCCTCGCAGGAACCGGATTACGTAACTCCCCCTAGGGGAAGTCCTAAGTAAACAAATCAACTCCGTTTTTTATTGACTTACGCAATGATTTCCTCTAACTGCCTATGGCCCAAAAACGATATCGTTGAAACTTACCTGCGGGAAATGAAGAGGACAGACAGCTGGTATTAGTCATGTGGCACAGAAAATATGTATATACGAGGTGTACATGATATGCGTGGAAATGATTAAGCAATTTCCGCTGACATGCCATTTTCCAAATGGACCAGTGGAGAGTGAGAGTGCGGCGATAGCGAAATATCTGCAACTGCAATCGCTCATAAATCAAGTTTGCTCCATCGAGGTTTACGTTCATTCGGTTTATGGCGACAGATTTTGTGGCCAACCAAATGCAGTTAATGGTCAGGAATGTGGCGAAATGTGGCGAAAGGGAACCGTCGATATAATAGAGAGTTTCGGTTTCTTGCCGTATTTATCTGGTGTTTAAGCGAAATCATTGGGCAACTTAATACCAATTTTGCTCTAGATACTTGCGTAATTTTGCAATGGAATTCTTATATTGGAGGCTAATTTATTACCCTCAAGGTTCCTTCAACACTCAGGGTATAATGGTCTCAAGTCTCTCTTTTCCCGTAAAGCCATCTAGTATTTATATGTTATGCAACTATTTTATTTCCTTGAATTTCCCACGCCAATTATCCCTAATCTAAGCATGCAGCTTCCTTGATGCAATTCCCCTCATTTTCCCACACCTTTATGATGTCTCAACTGGTGGTTCTCAAGGAAAACAAACCGCAGATCATCTGGCTCTACGCCTATGAGTTCCACCCCCAAACAACTCAAACACCTGCTGACCTGTGGCGCAATCTCTTTCCACCGATTGATGGATGGGACACTGTCAGGTAGTCGGGGGTATCCACCAATCCACCAATTCTGCCACATTGGTGTGAAATAATTTTGTCTGAGGCCGCTCAAAGATATCTCTTTGAGGCATTTTTGGAGCCCATTAGACAGACTCTGCGCCAAGTTCAATGGACGTTCGTTGGCAGACGCAGAAAAGGGTCTCCTTTTTCGTTTTTTCAATTTTATGGACAGTTAAACAATTATATTTGGTATTTACAGCCGGCCAGACGACCATTCGAAATACGCCATGAGAAAGATGATGCAATGCGGCAATCGACTAGCCACTTGCGATAAAAAGGAGGAGGAGATGTCTTCAATCCAAGGAGCCGACCAGCGACAATCTGCCACTTGGCACTTTCGATTTTCGCATTCGCAGTAAAAAGAAAACATTTTGTTGCATTTTTTCCAGCTGGTCACGTAACGAGACCCCCAGCTAGCCATCTGACCATTAAGAAATTCTGGAGGATTGGGTGCTGCAGTGCTGGGGTATTTGGGACTTGAGCAACTGCACCCGCACCCACCCAATCGAGCTGCCACGCCCAGGCGGCATAAATCACAAGTGAAAAGTGCAGCCCAGTGTTGGTATCGCCATTCCATGGTGTGTGCATAAATTTAATCGGGCGTTTTATATCAGCACCTCGACGGCGAAACTAGAAGACAATGTGCAATCCGTCTAAATATAGCTCGGACTTCGAGTCCGTTCGTCATGCCAGATGCAATCTAAATGAGAACTGACTCCCGCCCCGGATCGACAGCACGTCCAGATCTCAAGTTATGACGGGTTATAGTTGGGATAAAAAATGAACACTCTATACAATATACTCTGCTAGACTGCAAAAAAAAAACTAACAAACTAATTGTAATCTAACGAAATTTGGCTGGTTTCTTTAAGAAATAAAACTAATTCTGTGATGAAATCTTGAAATTTAGATATTTATCCAGAAGAGTAATCCACATTCACCTACTGTTTCGGAATCTGCCCTACCCAAAGTCATGTCCATTAAACCTTACGCATGTATCGTAGAACGTACGCATCGATATGAAAAGACAGCAAAGTACGTTTGAATATTTACGAAACAAAAAAATCAAGATTTCCCACTGCAGCTGCTGCTTTTGATTTTTATTTTAATTTTTTTATGGGCTTTACTCATGTATTTTTATGAAATCCGGGGTTTGTAGGTGCGCTACGATGTTGTTATTTCTGGTTTTGGTTTTTCTTGACGATTTAGGTTAATTTGTAAAATGCTCACGTGCCACGATTTCTTGTTTGCTTAGACAAAGTTGTGAAAAAATAAAAAGTATACATATACGTGGAAAATAGTGAAAAGAATGCCATTGAGAGGCACGTTTCGGGTTGAACGCAGTTCGAGAAATTTGTTTGCCTATTTTATGTTAATTCCAATGACGGACCCTAATCCGCGACATGCATCCTATGGCCCATGGCCAATCCTTGACGTCTGACGAGGGGTGTGCCGCTCGCAGTGGTTGCAAATTAATTGCCAACTTATATGCTAATATCATAATCACCATTCTTCAATTCAAATTACATGGCGCAGCACATAACGATCGTGTATTCCAGGGCTCTCGGCCCCAATGCAAATTCAATTTGATCATTTCTGTATTTCTGTAAAGGAACG